TAAAGGCGAAGGGAACGAGTAATATCAAATCTTTCATAATCATCTTGCAATCATTGAGTCAAACTCAATGATTGATACTTAATCCTAGAAAAGGAATTTTGTGACAACTAACCATCATGTAACGTGAGGCCGCTCTGGCTTCAGCTCTCTGACTTTCACAAGGCGGTGGCTTTGATCCGGCCAGCGAGGAGAAAGGTCTGACAGACCACCCACGCCAACGTGAGGCGAAATCCTAGAAGGAATTTAGAACGCTGCGTCCTTACGGGACTCTGTGTCTAGGTCATGTCAGTGTCAAACGTACTATAAGGCGATTCAGCATGGTAAATCTTATATCTAACTCTCTTCATCAATCTCGCTTGGAGCAACTACTTTACTACAATGCCCTTTTACTTAGGCGATTATTGACTTCCGATCGACAATACTGATTTCCTTACGCTCATACTTTATTCATATGTAAATCTATCGGGTGGACGCCTTGTCCGCCTCGATCGTCTCAATCCAGGCAGTGACTCTCTTTTCGCATTGTCTGCGAGGAGTCCCATATTTTCTTCCACTTCTTCTTCCTCCCCGCTGCTATCAGTAGCATCTCTATCTTCGTCCCTATCGTGAACGCCATATACTTCCTGTTCTTCTTCCAATTGTATGTAACATTCTTGGCTGATCTACCCACTGGGGAAATAAAATTTTTGATACTTCTTTTTCTTCCTCTCTCTCCTCATTCTTGCCCATAATGCCGTTATTTTCCTCCCCCTCGTTACCTTCTTCAGTATCTTTTGGAATTTTTTCCTCCTTCCAGTACGGCTTCAACCGGTTTACATGTATGACTTGCTCTTCCCATGTTCCTACCTTCTTTATTTTGTAAGTAACGGGGCCTATTATTTCGATGATTCTATATGGGCCCTTCCATGGTCTTATGAGCTTCCTAGAAACTCCGCTTTTCACACTCATCTCCTTTAGATATACCAAATCTCCCAACTCAAAGGTCTTTTCCTTCGCTTTTTTATTAAACCTAGTAATCCTTTCGGTTTTTACTTGCTCGGTATGGCCAAACACTTCAGTATAGACTTTTCCAAGTCGCCCAATCAATTCGGCCGCATAATTATCGGCATAGTCATACCTAACCTTTCTAGCTCTTATGAAACTGTCTATCGGTAGAACTTGGTCTCTCCCATGTAACAGAAAATACGGACTATAACCTGTAGTACTATGAACCGATCCCCGATACGCCATAAGAACAAACGGAATCCAATCATCCCAGTCTCGTTGATCTTCCGAAATATAATGTGACAGCATATCTTTTAACACCCTATGCATTCTCTCGATTTGTCCGTTTGACGTGGGCGCATAGCTCGACGTCTGTATCTTCTTAATACCTAGTATCTCACAAACCTCCTTAAACAATGCGGACGTAAAATTGGCGCCTTGATCTGTAATAAGCTTCTTTGGGGTCCCATGCCTGGCGACGATATGCTCTACAAAAGCCCTGGCCACTGTCTCCGCTCTTTGGTCTGGTAACGGAATGGCCTCAGGATATTTGGTAAAATAATCCTGGAAAGTCAATATATATCTGTTCCCCCTGTTTGAGGTCGTAAGTGGACCTACTATGTCCATCGAGGTCAATTCCCATGGTTCCTGCGAGGAAGTAAATCGTTGTAGAGGGGCTTTACCCATATGCGCCGAAGTTTTCCTTTGATTACACGAACCGCATTCCGTGCAGTACCTGTTAATATCGGCCCGCATACCTGGCCAATAAAATCGTGTACTTACATTCATGTAAGTCTTCTGCTGCCCTGGATGACCTACCAAAGGTGAGTCATGAAACTCTGCCAGTACTTGGGTCACAAGTGACTTAGGCACCACCAATTTATCGGATTTATCCTGCGCATCCATCCGATATAACACTTCGTCCTTGTCTAGGTAATATCGTTCCGATACTCCTCCATCTTGCTCCTCCAACTGAGTCCTTATGGTCTGACAGTAGACGTCCTTTTCTTGTGCCGACTTAAACACTTCTTTATCCCATACTGGCTCAAATTCTTCTTTCCGGATAGTACCAATTGACGTAGTTGATTCCTTCTGTCCGGTAAACACCGAAATTTCCAGACTTGTATTATACAAAATAAACTTCAGCATATCTTCGACTTCTTCCCACCGTAGCCCATCCAATCCACATCCGATTCGTGGTATGGCCAACTTCTTTGTGCCATTCCTCTCACATTCCTTACGCAAATTCTTCAATGTTCTCCATATGTCCTCATACGTTGGTTTGTCGTGATATTTCGTCTTCGTTACTAAGCAATAGATTATTCTTCCGTCACGATGCAATTTCGCTACGTCCCCCACTCGGACGTTTTGGTGATTTAGTTCCACTATACCTCCATACTTGTCTCTAAAATCCCTTGCAATACCCTTCCCCATTTTAAAATCCTTTGAAACACAATGACCTAGGTCATACTCTTGACCTGCCGAAAATAAATCCCCTTTTACTATACTCAAATTTACTAGACTAGGAATCACATGTTCCTTTTTATACTGTTCGTACTCCTCGTAAGACAAATCGATATAATGTTCGTCCTTACCGTACATTCTACTTAAAGCATCTGCATTTCCATGCAATCTTCCCGCTCTGTACTGCACCTCAAAGTCATATTCGGACAACATTAATGCCCACCTAGTCAATCGCGAGCTCGGATCCTTCAACGAAAATAGCCATTTTAGTGGCCGATGATCTGTTATCACCGTAAATTTCTGCCCGTATAAGTAACAGTTAAATGATTTTATACCAAAAACTACTGCGTACAACTCTTTCTCTGTTGTCGAGTAGTTCAACTCTGCCTTTTTAAATTGCCTGCTTGCAAACGCTACCGGCAGTTCCTGTCCATTCCTTTTTTGACTTAATACGGCTCCCATCCCTTGTCCAGACGCGTCGGTTGACAAAATAAATTGTTGCTCCATATCAGGGTAAATTAATAACGAATCCGACGTTAACGCATGTTTTAGTCGGTGAATAGCCTCTAGTACTTCCTCAGTTATTTCGAATTTAACGCCCTTTTTGGTAAGATTAGACAGGGGCGCCGATACTTTGGATACATTGGGAATAAATCGTCGATACCAGTTAACCAATCCCAGAAATGACCTAACCCCTTTAACATTCTTGGGGATAGGGAAGTGCTTAATAGCATCTACCTTTTCTGGATCAGGGCGTACTCCATCCCTTGATATAATGTGGCCCAAATACTTTACTTCTGGCAGCAGAAAACTGCATTTCTTGGGTTTCAATTTAACATTAGCGTCTCTGAGCCTATCAAAAACGACCTTAACTCGATGGATGTGTTGATCCTCCCCTCCTGCGTTATAAATGATAATATCGTCCAGATAAACCATGCACGAGTCCCCTGTGAGACCGGCTAAAGTAAGGTTCATAAACCTTTGGAAAGTGGCGGGCGCGTTAGCTAACCCAAATGGCATTTTTACATACTCGTAATGGCCTTGAAATGTACTAAAGCCCGTTAAAGGTACGGACTCATCATCCATGTCTATTTGATGATACGCCTCGGCAACATCTATTACCGAGAACAACACATTATCACCCGCCTGATAGCTTTGCACTAAGTCGGCTATATTGGGTAACGGATAATATTCCTTTTTCGTGACACTATTGAGACCTCTGTAATCAATGCACATACGAATCTTCTCCGTCCCATCTGGTAAGGTTTTTGTCACCAGTACTACGGGAGCGGACCATGGGCTAAATGAAGGTCTTATAATTTGGGCCTCCAACAACCTGTCTATCTCTTCCTTCAATATCTCACGCTGCTTGTATGGTATCCTGTACGGCGCTTTGCAAATAGGCCTCGCGACGTGCTCTAGATTTATTGTATGTTTAACCTTCGTGGTACTAGTCAAAATATCCTCATCTTCCATAAATAGGTCGGCATATGACCTCAACAGTTCATGCATCTTAGATCTAGTTTTTGAACCTAGATGGGTTAAATTAAATCCTTTTTCAATCCATTTATCGTTAGAAGTATCGATCTTCCCTATTATTATTCCTTCGTTGCACGGGGATGCTACCTTCATAGCTTCTACCGCTCTACCAATCGTGCGTCCCGCTGGAATCTTTAACTCCGTTCCGGACAAATTAATTATTCTCACTGGCACGCGTGCAGCGTTGTCAATAATTGAATATGCCACATAAGCATCCTTATTACCCAGCTCCACAGGTTCGCAGACCACTACTTCTCCATCCAAACGTCCTTGAACTCGTCCCAGACATATCATTTCCATTTTTGGGGGTAGAACAAATTCCTCAGCGGCTACTATTTTAGCCTCCCCTTCTTTTTCCATAATATTCGTTGCTTTTCTCGTTCGAATCTTGGCATCTTTTCCATGTTCATTTTCCAATTTCCGTAATTTTTCCAGTGTCGATGTATGCTGTTCTTGTAACGTCGTAAACATCCCCTCAATTTTCGTTAACCTTCCCTGCAATAGNATAAAGTTTCCATTAAGATAAATGTCACCATTCGGTAATGCCAGGTCTAACTTCACAGTTCCATACGTGGTTAACGCATGTCCCGTGATGCCTGTCAGTGTTAAATCCCCATGGTCCTTTACTCGTAATCCATTTTGTTCTACCAACTTCTTTTTAATAAGTGACACAGCTGCTCCTGTGTCAATCAAACAACGTATTGGCCTACTGTCCAATAGTAACTCCAAGACGTACGGTCTCCTAGATTGTGCGTTTAAGCCCGTGATTCCAGGAATGATACAGTTAATACCTCCCTTTTTATCCTCTTTTTGAACAATATCCCTATGTTCATCCCGTGTTCCTATACGGGTCTCACTTACATGGCTAGATTTCTTTAGACCTTTGTTACTGCCTCTACACCTGATAGTGGCTACCCTTGACGTACTATTACCATTATTACCATATTCTTCATTATTCCTGTCACACTGCATTTCCACTCTCCTAATTTGTTGTACATTGTTTCTATTTCTTCTCAAATCCATTTCTTGTCGACTTTCACTCTTGATTGCGCACCTATCTTCGTATCTTCTAAAACCATTATTTCTATCTTAATTACTTCCGAATTCTCTTCTTCCGCCATAATTATCCTGTCGCCGGTCCTCGTATTGATCACGGAAATTATTTGCACCTCTGTATCCATATTGGCTCCAATTTCCCCTACTCGCGTCGTCCTGACGAAAACTACCTGCATTTCCCCTACGAAAATTTCCTTTATCACCGTAGTTGCTCCTATTTCCACTGTTAAAGTCTCCTGTATCATCAAAATTACTCCTATTTCCCCCACTGAAGTGTCCGACCTCAAGTCTGTCGCCTCGAGAAAAATTTACTCTACTTTCCTTACTAAAACCGCCCCAGGACTGTTGCCTATTAGGGCACTCTCTTGCCCAGTGTCCGGTCCTATTACACAGGAAACACTCGTCTCTTGTTNTTCTTCTCAAATCCATTTCTTGTCGACTTTCACTCTTGATTGCGCACCTATCTTCGTATCTTCTAAAACCATTATTTCTATCTTCATTACTCCCGAATTCTCTTCTTCCGCCATAATTATCCTGTCGCCGGTCCTCGTATTGATCACGGAAATTATTTGCACCTCTGTATCCATATTGGCTCCAATTTCCCCTACTCGCGTCGTCCTGACGAAAACTACCTGTATTTCCCCTACGAAAATTTCCTTTATCACCGTAGTTGCTCCTATTTCCACTGTTAAAGTCTCCTGTATCATCAAAATTACTCCTATTTCCCCCACTGAAGTGTCCGACGTCAAGTCTGTCGCCTCGATAAAAATTTACTCTACTTTCCTTACTAAAACCGCCTCTGGACTGTTGCCTATTAGGGCACTCTCTTGCCCAGTGTCCGGTCCTATTACACAGGAAACACTCGTCTCTTTTTCCCTGTACCATGTCCCTATCTTCACTCCTCCTACAATTCCTTGCTATATGCCCGTCTTCTCCACATTTGTAACAGTTAACTGCCATAACCACTGGACCAGCGCTTCTTCCTTGCAACATCTTCATGTTGGTTTCATGGAGCTTTACCAATTCTTCCGCCTTCTCCAAGGTTAGGTTGTCTTCTCTTAACAACATCAGTCCTACTTCTTTGAGGATGTCCCTTCGTAATCCCATCTTGAATTGGTTTAATATTAGTTCTTGATTCTTCTTCCTAATCCCGGCTTTCTCTTCCTGAGTTGCATTCTTCAAATCTTCCTTTAACAGTTTGGTTCCTATCAGCCGCAATCGGGTACAAAACCCAGTCACGGATTCATCGTGCCGCTGGTAACATTTGTTTAAGCTAAGCTGGTACTCTCCAGGTAGCAAAGTCGTAGCGAAATGTTCCAGGAACTTGGCTTTCATGTCCCGGTACCCTAACTCCCTTAAAGTGGAGTCTGAACTCAAAAAATCATACGCGTCACCTATACATTTGTATTTAAATATCCGCAAAGTTTCCAATTCAGTCCATCCGTCTAGTTCCGCCCTTTGCTCCAACCTATCAAAATATCGACTAATGTCTTTCCCTGTAACATTGTCGACCGTGGCCGCTACCATACCTAAAGAATACGCCATCATCGGCGCGTACTGGCCTGCAACTGGGGGCACAGCTGCTGCTGCTGCTCCAGCGGGAGTTGGAATTTGATTTGTCGTCATCTCGTTCGTTGCGAGCTACGCGGCTCAAACTGTCTCTCTTTATTTAAACAAATTAAAATTTTTTTAAAAAAAATATTCCCAAAATTATCGTTAGTTTGCAACCGCAACCAAGTTTTCCAGCTATTATTAGTCGCTAAAGTTCCACTGGTACCGCTTCAAACAATAAAATCGACTTCAAAAAAATAATTATATATATATTTTTTTTTGATCACCCTGTATGTTGCGGGGTCTCGTAGTATTTGCTCTAGTGTTATCTTTAATTCCAAATTCAATAATAAAATTAATGAAATAAAATTAAAATTTAACTGCGTACTCTTTAACTGACCTCGTATATACTAAACTCAAAATCTAGGCTTGACTTCTCAACAACGTGGGTATTCTAGGTAATCCTTCCCAGAACTCAAAACAAAAACCAAACTAAAATAATCGCTACCTCTTGACTAACCCTGTATATTCAGTTCAACTCAAAATCCTAATTTGTTCCAACTAGTCTCTATAGGCACAACTTTTCCAAAATATTGGTGTTATTTCCCAAACTGAAAATTAAATCCTAATAGTTCTTACTAACCCTGTATATAATTAACTCAAATTAAAATCAAAAGATTCCTAAAACCCAAGAATTATTCCCAATAGCTCCTTTTAAAAATGACCAACAAAGTCAATAAACAACAATCTAAAATTTTCCAAAATTATTTGTTTGTAATCTGCAAATTTGCAAAGAAATTAAATTCTAAATCAATCCAGAAAAAAAATCCAAACAAAATAAATTTTAAAAATACATCTCTGATTCACCCTGTATATAATATATACCAAACCCCATTAAATTTCCACACAAGTACTTTTCAATAACTCCACCTACTTTTTGATCCACCTGGTATACAGGTTATTGTACCTAATTCGCACTCTCTTGTGCACGTACCTCGTATACCTATACAAAAAAAAGTTAACCCAAAATTATACCACACGTTTGTTTTCCAACACCAAGACTCTCTAAGTGCTTAAAATGACGGCTAAATCTCACCTACTATTATAGATACGTCTCAATATTTTACTTTTATATCTCTACAGCTCTTTTCAAAAAAAAATTACCACTTCAAAAAAAACTTCTATGTACTCCAAACAACTACAACTTTGTTCGGTTCTTTTCAGGTCCTTTAGGTCTCACTACCTAAAATAGCGAATTCTTTGCTACCTTTCCTGGCTCACTCTATACCTTGACAAAATCTAAATTAAACAGCCGTTTTCAACGCGCTATCAATTATGGCGACACAAAATCCAAAATCAGCAGTTCTCCAGCTGAGGATCGACACTCGACCTTTATTTATTTATTATTGTAACTTCAGCTTCAGTTCAACAGCTGACTTTCAATGCCAATACCGTACGATAATTACACGATATGATTTATTTATTCCACATATGCCATACGTATTCTCGGACTCCTTAGTGATAAAATGCTCACGTTGATTTATTCTAACCTGTTTAAACTTTACTAAAAAATATTCTTACACTAAAACTAAACTAACCAAATTCCTTTTAAAAAAATTGTAACAACACCGTTTGTTTTCCGCACATGAATCAATACTGAAAAATTAACAAAATTTTGTCCAAAAGTAATGTTTTCTTGTCCTATATATATATATTTAAAAAAATCAAACAAGCTAAAATAATATTCCTGGTATTAAATGTCACTTTTCTGCGTAACTTTTCCCTAATAATCTAACTTTTCTAACCTGTCCAGCTGTTTTCCAGTTTATTTCTGGATTCCACTCTAGCAATTTTCTCATATACTTCTTATACTCTTGGCGTTCTCTAGGTACCTAGCTCAAATAGTTAACTTCAAAATAAAAAGAATTTATATTCTAAATCCTCCAGAATACTTATAACTTTGTCAATCTAACAGATTTGCCGTTTTTCCTGTCCGATCTAACTCTCTACAAATCTCCTTATAACTTTCTCTATCAAATTCCTATTTAACGCAAATTCTCCACGGTTTTTATAAATGATAAAATTGCCTCTTTGCAATTATTATACCACTATATCTAGTAGATGGCATTCCGCACACGCAACTCAAAGTAATATCTCTAACAAAACATCCCAAATTTGTAGCAAAATTCTCTCTACACTATTTCCACAGAGCCGCTTTAACGCCTCATAGACAAACCTATCTATCCGAAAATAACCCCGTTATCTTCTAAACCTTACTCCTAATTTTTCTCTGCTTTCCGTTAATTTACCGAAAAATCCCTACTTTTACCTCACGCACCTGACTCTTTTTATTCCGCTTTTTCAAAAAATACACCCCACACCTGACACCAAATTGTAAATCACCTTTTTGTTAGTGGTGTTTTTAAGTACACCTGACACCAAAATTGTAATGTGTGGTGCAAAACACCTGACACCAAAATATATATGCAAAAACCACCTTGTGACCAAATTTCTACATTCCAATCTACAACCGTCGGACAGCTGCTTACCCAAGGACTATTCCCCCTCGGGCACCAATAAGGTCGCGGCTCCCGGTTTTCGACTACTGTGCGTACCTTCGCCCCGGCTTCCTCCTGGTTGGTTGTCGAGCGGCTGACAGACACCCGGATTCGGCTCTGGCTAAAGTCGAAGCAGAAAACTTCTCGCAGAGACTTCTAACTAGCGGGAATGAGTCAGGCGTTTGTGAGAAATCAAACCTCGCATTGATTTAATACTAACTATATATTGAATAATAATGTTCAGAGAGACAGTCTACACACTGCCGCTCTGTCTAGAAAACTGTTACAAGCAAAACAAAGAACCACCAAAAAAATACTATTTGGTACTTATATTGAATATTGTTCAGAGAGGCAGTCTAATCGCTGCCGCTCGGTCCAGAATAATGTTACTAGCAAAACAAAGAAAAACCAAAATTACTATTTGGTACGTAAATTGAATATTGTTCAGAAAGACAGTCTGATCGCTGCCGTTCCGTCTAGAATAATGTTACAAACAAAACAAAGAACAACAAAAAAAAAATACTATTTGATACACTTACCAAAATTTCCGAAACAGAACGAGAGTTAATCCACTGAGAAAACAGGACACTAAATGGCACCCACCGTGCACTGTACGCTCCGTTGCGGTCACCAAAATTTTTCTAACATCAAATAGTCCCAAAAATCAATCCCGGTTGACTTGTAACGACTCTGGAAAAATATTGCCCAAATCAAGACCTAGTGCCCGGCACTAGAAAATAAACTTCCAATTCCGCGAGCCCCGTACGACTTTAGACTCCCGGAGTCCTGCAACTACTTTCGGATCCCGGATCCTCGCAATACTCTCTCGATTCCCGGAGCCCCGCAACGACTCTGTAGTCCCCGCAACGACTCTGTAGTCCCCGCAACGACTGACTCTAGTCCTCCTTCAAAGTCTTAAGCTCCCGATTTTCCAATGTTTTTAACCCCGCCCTGTATGCTAAAGCTCTCCTAATTAAAACATGGCCGAATCGATCCCACCAATCAATTATTTCCTTTTTTTCAATAAATTATTCCCACTTAAGAGTGTTGTCTTTTATCATAAAAGAGGGTGTAAACTATACCGTCGACCATTACTAAAAAGGCGTAATGACTCCTTTCTGCAACCGTAGCTTTTTCCCCGCGGACCGAAAGTTCCCATGAACAGTTATCTTTAAAAAAAAAAGTGTTAAATTGACAATTTTCGAAGGAGTCGTGTCAAAGATAAAATTTAGCACCTTCATATCCGGCGAGATCCCGTAACTTTGGCGATTTGTTTATTTTAAATCACACCGAACTACTTTACGATGCAGCGCCTTTCATCCAAGTCCGTGGGAACGGCTTCTTTCTCAGCGAACTATACCATCGCCTGTTTCTAGCCCTTGGTGTAACTTAACTAGGTACCTACTATACAGTATGTCTATATCTACTAGATTTGCGATTTACTACATCAAAGCCAATCAGCTGAACGAATCAGATTTTCCTGTTCAAATAATTAAGGTTAATGCTTTATGCATATACTGTAATATAGCTGTGGGATCATATTTTAATGGGCAACCAGTTCATATAATTCATCAGTTCTTTCCAACCGTAGGGCCAGGGTACAAAATTGTGGAATCGCCCCAAAATATTATGTATTACCCCGTAACAGTTAAAACCATAACTAATTTGGCCCTTAAAATACTCGATCAGGACGGACATCTTGTCAATTTTCGCGAGGAAGTCATAACGGTAACACTACGTCTATTGAAGCTCTCATAAAACATGGTTGTTCGCTACAATATAATTTTTAAGCGTAATTATAAAAGGCCGCGTAAAAGTAAATTTCCAGTTAGTTCCAAACGAAGTACTAACAAAGTAACAAGTGAAAATAAGCTGTTCCTAAAATCTCTAGGTTTCGAAGTACTCGTATAATGGATATCTTAAATGTTACTCAGCGTCCCCTCGTAGACAATTCTATCGTTGACTTGGAATATCACAATTACCAACCCTTTGTGACCTCTAAATTTGATTATAATGATGAAATTAGAATTCCAATACAAGAACTGGACGCATACACTTTACCATGCGAAAGCATGCTGTATTTAGAGGGAAATCTAACAAAGGACGATGGGACTCCGGTTTCAAAGCTAAAATTTATAAATAATGCCTTCAGTTACCTCTTCAGAGAAATCCGGTACGAAATGAACGGGATTGTTATAGATTCTGTCCGAAACGTTGGGCTGACGTCTACACTTAAGGGGTATTTATCTTTTAATGAAAGTGAAAGCGTAAAGCTTCAAAATGCTGGATGGTTCCCAAAAGAAGGTTTTATACCTGACACTAATAAATTTAATGTGTGCATCCCAATTAAGATGTTATTAGGCTTTTTTGAAGACTATAGAAAAATTATTTTAAATATGAAGCAAGAATTAGTTTTGATTAGAAGTAGTAATGATTTGGATGCAGTAACATCTATCGACGAAACGGAAAAACCTAAGATAACTATTGAAAAACTTTATTGGAGGGTTCCACATGTATCCGTAGGAATCTCACAACAATTGGCTTTAACAAAAATTTTAGATAAAAATGTTGAAATATTGCTTCCATTTAGAAGTTGGGAGCTAGTCG